CTCTTTGTTATATTTTTTCCTTGTCTTATTCTTTCTCTTTGTCATCTTTTCTTACTGTTTTATTTTCTCTTTTTCTCAATATACTTACTCTCAATCACTTACACTCAATCTCACTTCACTCTTTATCACTTTCACCCTCATTTGCATTTTATCTTCTTTCTTATTCTCTACCTTTATTTTATTCTTTCTCTTTCTCAATCACCCTCTCACTCAATCTTGCTCTTACTCTCTATTACTTCATTCTTCTTCTCTCTCTTTATTTTATTCATTCTCATTCTCAATCATCCTTATACTTAATTGCACTCTCACTCACTTTGTCTTATTTTCTCTCTTTCAATCATTCTCACACTTAATCTCGCTCTCACTTTCTATCATATACACTCTCAATCTCCTTAACTTCATTTAGTCTTAATCTTATTTCTCTAATCTTAATTTACTTATACTATTATTGCTCTTTCATCTCTTTACATTTACTTCTTTACTATCTTACATTCATTTATTTTTTCTTTTTTTCTTTCTTCTCTTTTTTAATTAATAAAATAAATAACAATAGGAAAACAAATCTGATGAGTAAGTAATAATAATTTCATATTTTAACAGAGTTAAACCCACATTATGGATTAATATAATCTGCTTTGTTATTTATAGTTTATATTATGAATACTTCAATAGTAATGATGAATAGTTATTCTTTGGATATTTGGTTTACTGCAAAACTAAAAACATCTTAAGAAATATTAAAATGGAGCATCAGGAATATTATAGCTATCTAAACTATATAGCAAATAATATTCACAACAAAAAGTAAAAGCATTAGAAGCAATAAATATAAATAAAATAAGAATTAAATCAACTTTTCAGTCTTAATTTTAATTGTCAAGCACCCTGAACTTAGCAATGCATCTAATCAATTTGTTATTTAGATAAAGGTAAATAAAGATGCATTAAAGAAATAAATCTTCTTTGAAAAAATAGGAGAATAATACAATATGACAATTTAAAAAATAGATTGTGACACAATCTTTTATAAGTTAATTTTTTGCTAACTTATTTTTTTAATACAATATATTTTTTATTTTATATATATATTTTTTATAATACATTTTTATATGAAATTATATATAGAAAGGAGAAAAAAAATATTATATTCAATACTAATACTACTAACTTTTGGAGATCATTTCAAAGCAGAATAAAAAATGAATTTAAAGAAAAATTAGATAGTATTAGCAAAAAAATAATCAAATTAGTGTCTAAAAAACATAACATCTCTGTTAAAAATGAGGCTAATTTTAATTTACTTTTTGCAACTATTCCTGAAAATTTAAATGGTCTAAAAAGTATTAAATTTAAGTTAAAATACTGTAAGTACTTTACTGAAATATATTAGTTAGTAACTGAATTGTAAATTAATTAAAACTATATAGTTTATTTATTAAAACAATTAAGATTTTATTTAGATACAAACTTCGTAAATATGTA